CCCTTAGTACCAGTGCTCTTTCCAAAATGAAGCAATTACATCTCTGACAGTTTTGCTTTCAGGACCAGCACAGTGATGGTGATCTTAGTTAATTTAGGCTGCTGTGGAACCATACCTCAAAGCATTTAGCTTTCCTGCCAGCTCCCAGCTGGGGAACTGTTTGGCAGCAACCCACCTGACAAATGGTATTTAAAAAAAGATACAAAGTACCAGTGCTCTTTCCAAAATGAAGCAATTACATCTCTGACAGTTTTGCTTTCAGGACCAGCACAGTGATGGTGATCTTAGTTAATTTAGGCTGCTGTGGAACCATACCTCAAAGCATTTAGCTTTCCTGCCAGCTCCCAGCTGGGGAACTGTTTGGCAGCAACCCACCTGACAAATGGTATTTAAAAAAAGATACAAAATCAGAAACTTGAAAACTACTTTAACATCAAGAGGATTTGCTCTTGATTGTGCAAAAAGGGGTTTTTTTTTGAAAACGAGGTCATATGCATAGCCTGTTTTCTCATTTCTAATGAATATTTTTAAGTTTTCAGACCATTTGTGTATACAACTTCTACACATGGTTACAAGGCAGCCACTGAGTAGTGAGAATTACTAGCTTTTGTAGCAGCTCTTAATGCTTAAAATGAGAAAGGTTTATTATTCAGCATCTACTTCAAGTCCAGAAAACTTCTTTGCTGCTATTACTCTATTACAGAGGACTAAACATGAATGCAAGTGTTGTGCATTTTCTTTCTGTGCCAGCAATTGGTATGTGTATTTCCTCTTACTCACAGATTCCCTCGCAAAAGTGCCAATAAGTACTGGAGCCCCTGGCAACCCCTCTGGAATATCATCATCTTTAACAGCATTCACAGGTGCCTTCATTGCAGACTTGAAGAAAAAAGGGTTTTCCAGTGGTATTCCATGGTGGAATTGTCTTGAGCACATGGTGTGGTCTAGGACTACAGCAGTGGCTGTTTCATACCTCGTTTTCCATAATCAGTCATCATCATCAGATGCAATGAAAACTCAATTCTGGTCTCAAGTGGAGTCTTTGCTGCTAAAAGAGTAGGTTTTGTTAGTATTTTCTAGCACAAATATAGATCATTTTCACAGAAGGCTTAGAATGAAATAGATCAATTGAATTGTGAGTACATGATGTCATTTGCATTGATTTGGCATTTGGCTAGAGCTTGACTCTGAACTTACTTCTGTTTTACCCTGAAGATTTTATAGTAGTGTTACAGCAGTGTGGAAAGACAAGGGAACTCACATCACACAGGGAAGGAAGAAGCACTCACAAAGGAAAAACCCTTAACAGAGACTTGTTGAAGTACACCAAGGGCTGTAATAAACAGCCCTGGTGACTGCCTGGCTGTTGGAGGAGGAGTACAGTCCTCCTTTCTCAAGGTTTAAGGGTTGTCAAAATTTAAGGAGAGACTGGACATGGCACTTAGTGCCATGGTCTAGTTGACATGGTGGTGTTAGATCACAGGTTTGACTTGATGATCTCAGAGGTCTTTTTCAACCTGATTAATTCTCTGATTCTCCCTTGCCTGTGCAAAGTTAGCTGCAGACATACTGCACCTGCCAGATCCCAGACAGGCAAACAACATTCTCTTACTTCTATTTATATCTATTAGCTAATGTCTAGTGTGGGAGATAAGCCTTGGGCAGTGCTGCTGCTGGTGAATTTGGCCTTATCCTGTAACAGCTCTTCTCTATATATTGAGATATGTTTGGGAGAAAAAAAGATCTTTTGGGGTGGTGGTGATGTTTCAGAATCAAACACAATATTAAAAGCAAATAAAGATGCTATCAGTCATATATAAAAACTGAAACAGACAAAATATAAAACAAACAGCAGAAAGCAGGCCAAAATGCACTTAGAGGAAGGCATCCAAGAGGGCTGTTTTTGTGGTACAGATAGTTTTAGTAGTTTTAACCATGTTTCAGATTTGAAGGAGGCTCCTTTCAGTCTGCTAGAAGGAATAAAAGATCCAGCCAAAGGAGAATGTGAATGATTTGTTTTGGCATAGCTGAGCTACAGTGGTCAAACAAATGATAACAAAGAGGAGAGTGAAAGTTAAAATGCTCAACAGATACACTTTGACATGAGGCATCTGATAGAAGCAGACCTGACAATATACCCTGATATAAAACTGTCTCAAAGGAAAATCTCTCTTTATTTTGCCATTCATTTCAAAACTGGTTTCAGCATGGAGAAGCTGACCCGCTGCCTGGGTCACCGAGTTCCAAAAGGAACCACCTGCAAGTCACACCCTGGCAGCTGCCCACAGACTCTGAAACCAAAGCAATCATGTATGAGGAGCCTCAAATTCACTTTCATGGCTGATTTAGTTTAACTGAAAGTTCTGGTGTAGCTATAAACTCTGCTATGGTGCAGCTTAAACCAAGGAGGTGCTAGAACAGAAGTCAAGAGGATTTCTTCAGTCTAACCCACCTATTGGACTATGTGCATGGAATTGGTGAGATATTTGGCTTTACACCGGGCAAGGGTCTGGCCATGTGTCTGTTGTATGGAGATGGACTCAAACAGTGAAGCAGTTTAAGGCCTGGAGTCAAAAATTATATTCTCTGGACTGAATTTTAAAGCTGCTGAAGGGATCTGGCCTTACATCTCTAACAGAACCTTTAGGGGGTGTGTGGTTAAAGTCCCTTAGTTGTCAGTGGAAAAGTCCCTTTCTGACCCTCTAATTCCAAATTCCCATGATACTCAGCATCAGATCTAGATCAGCCATCCACAGCAATGGACTGCAATGCCATGTACACTTGGGTCTAGGACATTCAACCTCCAAGGAATTGTATTTTACAGAACAAAGCACTTTGGTATATTTTTTCTCCATTCTTTTTTAATAAATACATACTCTTGATGAAAAGCTCCTCAGACACTTTCATTAAACACTGTAGTAGTAAGAACAGGGTTCACT